TGGAAAAGGCTCTAATGCTGGGAAAGGTGGAAGGAAAGAGAAGAAGAGGATGACCAGCAGCTAAGTGGATAGACTCAGTTACACAGGCAATGAGTGTACAGTTGAAGACTTGAAAGATGAGGTTAGGGACAATTTGTCATGGAGAAAATCTATCTATGTAATCACTAAGAGTTGACAATGACTTGATGGCACATAATCGATATAACCAATGGAAATCACAAAATTCAACTCTTTACTTAACTGTGTGGATAAGTTAGAACCTAAGGAAAGTAAGCAAGAATTATTGCAGTTAATAGCCAGAGCTCTTTCCAAAATACTGTACTACCTGTATGAAATTAGGAAGAGAAGTAGAATACATATCCAAAAGTGCTAAAATAGCATTGACATACAAAAATAATTTGTACTTACACCCTGCCAAAGGTTCAAGGATCAAATTGAAGAGCAACAGTCAAAGTGGGCAGTCTTGCCAAGGGCCACATTGTAACTCAACAGAGTCTGAAATTATTTGGTTTGTGATGACTGTAGTGTAGACTTGCAAATACTAAACTCAATCCGAAGAACAAAATCGCTCAGAGAGCCATATCTAATGATCACCTGCTTTAAAAACTTAATCCAAACCAAATCAAAGGCTTTTTCTGCATTTCAAGACATTAATCTATCCTTTCTACCCTTATATCAATTAATAAACATACATTGGCTGCTGCTTGTAGATTTTTGGTAACCCCCTGACTGGGAGGGGTGGGTTTTGTGTAATAAAACCTTCTGCAACCACAAAATCAACCTCATATATGCCTCATAAAATAACAGAGGAAGTTTACCTACAACGCCTCAACCATCTCTTCCTCTTTTTTAATGGGAGGGCTGGCCTTCCCTTGACCAAACCCTTCACTTGTTGGTTTTTGAAGAGGAAAGCAACAACAGAATAATGAGTTGCTTGGAATGGGGTGAAATGAGAAGGCTTCTTCATTAAGCCAGGGTTATGACTTTTGTGGCAAAAACTCAACTTTTCGGAGAGTTTCACTCCACCTTTGATTCACTCAACCTTTTGGTGCTTCCATTTAAGAATCTCTGCCAGGTATTTTTCTTTAAGCTCCTACTTAATAGCAGCGGTGTCCATGTCACTGAACCATGCAATGCAATTAAGTCTCCTGAGGATGATTCACTCTGCTGAACTATTTTATGGTCACCTGCATTTCCCCCCCCACAAATAATGCTATTACAAATAATATCTATTTTCTATTTTTAATTAAATTTTAAAACGTTAATTTAATACAAATATCTATATACTTATAAGATAATAATTAAAAAAAAACTCCTGTCATTAATAGTCACTGTTCCAGGCTATTGCTTTTCACTTGTGTTTGAAACTGCACTTCTACACTTCTCAAAAAAACAAAACAAAACCAAACCAGAAATTAGACTGGAAACTTTAAGAAAATCCCAGAAAAAGAAAATGGTAAACAAGAAAGAAGGAAAACAAGAAAACGACATGAAAGTGTCCCTGTATGAAAGAAATGCCCTTGAATGAAAGAAAACAAGGAAACAACATGAGACGGTCTCTGAATTCACCAGGAATCAGGTCTGACTTGAAGAGACTTGACTTTACTGACTTGGCTGAACTCAGAAAGCTAAGCAAGATAGGACTGATTAGTATTTGGAGACCTGGAAACCTCAAGGCTGAAAATGGAGAAGACATCCCAGGAGGAGACTGTGGCAAGCCGAATCTGTATCGTTAACCAGAAAGCAAAGTGGACACACTGATGACGTCACCAGAAGTTGAGTTCAACTCAAGGGAGTTTTTAATCTTTTTATTTATTATTTATTTATTTTACTTACACATCACATTTATATACATTATGTATTTTAATGTAATCTACTGTATTTCAAAATGATATATTAAATATATGTATGCACAAAACGAAGGCCAGCCCCACCTGTCTTTCAGTGTAAGAACTGACTTGGAGTGGTGTGTTCCCAGAAAAGGATTCCAGGGTTACAAACAGAATAGAACAGAACAGAACAGAACAGAACAGAACAGAACAGAACAGAACAGAATACTTTATTGGCCAAGTATGTAAACATACAAGGAATGTGACTTTGGTGCAAAGAGCTCTCAGTGTGTTTCCATAGCATCAAGAATAAGAATAATAAAATAAAAATAACATTATACTAAAACG